TATGTTTTGGATGTAAGGAGAAGCCAGTGCTGCATTATGTCCATTCACACTGCATTTTATAGCTAAAAGGACCAAGCATTACAATTGTCAAACAGAGGAATTCCATTGTTTTCAATGGACCATGTTCACATGTGTGCATTCTGTCACCTGTAGCCAAACACCTGTTGCTAGAAAAAGTACACGAGCCACTGTTCAGCATAACCACCTGTTGTGACTTGTCTGTGTCACAGAGTCCAAGTGGATCCATACGCAGAATGACACAAAACTTTCATCTAATGGGAAGTAACACGTATTGTTAGGGGTGAAGGTTTATGGTAAAGATTACGTCTTGGTTTTAAGTGCTAGGTTAGGTTGGGTTACAACTTACAGTTAAGTGTTTGGTCAAGGGAAAGATTAAAGTCTACATTTTAAAGTTAGGTAGTAGGGGGATGTTAAAAAAGAACTTCGTCAAATTAAACATTAACCCTTGCAGTGGGGCTACCCCTACTGAGGGCAATATCCAGTGGCTATAAAGGGAGGATTTTTAGAAGAAGCAGCAGGGGAGATGGGATACACGTCATAACATGTAACTAATGTGTTTGGTTCTTCAGTGTTAACTAAAAAAAGGGTTATGCTGCACTTTCACAAACCTTTCACCCAACCTCTAGATTACTGCATTTCATATTTTGAAAGGACAATATAAAGGAAAAGGAGTGTTGCGTAAAAAAGCACACATGGGTTTAACCCAATTGTTAATTCTTCATAGTCCATGAACTGAGCAGGGCCTGAGCTGGAATGCTCTAAGTATTTCAGATGTTCTTGAACCGTCCTGTGCTCTGTTGCATTTATTGACAGATGGATGGATGGTGGCTGGAGCTGTACACGGGAGTCATTGATTTTATATGGAGAGCACAAGGGGCATACTGATGCACTGTTTAGCATAATAATTCGCAGGGCAAGCAAAAGATGAAGTACAGAACATCTCTCTTGATACCTTTTACGTGTGAAAGGCAGCTAATCTATATGCATATTGTGTTAGCGAAATAGTTTTGGATTTGTTGGCAATATTTTATAGAGAGCCTTTTACAGTGATAAGTTCAATTTGTACTACATTAGTATATGCTCTCTCAGAGGATGATGAGAAAAGTAGAGCAGATGAAAATTGTGTTGTTATCCCTAGGAACTACTGAGGTTGTAGCGTTCATTCCCTTATCCCAGGCTTGATTAGCATACAGTGTGCTCAATTCACAAAGCTAATCGGTCAGGATATGGATACTTATTTTAAGAAAGTGACGGTTATTTTCAGCTAAATCCAATGAGAGTTGAACATTTTAGTCACATGGCTAAAAATTAAGCTCTATATACTGTATGTGAATTGAGTTTAAATCTATAACTTCTCCAGAGAATCTTGCATATTGTATGGCCAGTTTATATGTAATAATAAACTAGATGGATGTGGGACAATCTTAGTGGAGCAGGGAAGGCACCATTCGTGCCATGGCATTTTTTAAATGTTCCAGTAAGCCCTGTAGAGTGCTGCTGGATATCTTGAAGTGCTTATACAAATTTTGAATTTCAGAATGTCGAAACATAGGAAAAACCCCCCCCCCCCTTCATTGCCCACAAGATTAGATTTACTTTAAGGAGAACAACAGATCTGGAGCAGTAACCAGTGTGACTAGATTAAATATTTTACTTTGTAAATACACAAATTCTTGGTGTAGGTCAGAGCCCTCCGGAATTTTTAATATGCATTGCAGTGTAAAGGCAATCTATTATTGTGGGAGTTGGCGATTTCCTGATGAGTAGTAGATGTGGAGGACCAGCGTCTGTGAAGTCTTCCTGCTGGGAATGCTTTCTTCTGTTTGCTGCAGTTTGTTAATATGCTTTATGAGTGCTAAGCAGCTTATTATTGATGACAGAACATTTTTAGAGTTTGTACACACATGAAACCTATGGTTATGCTCTCTGCTTGGCAAGTACCAAGAAGTACTAATTTTCCCATAGTTAACCCTATGTGGAACACTCTTTCAGTGTCCATCAAAGCATAGAATGTATATAGAAGGTGTTCTACACAAAAGCTTACAGTAGAACTCCAGCCAAAGCTTTTGTTAAATAATCGGCTAACTAATCGATTTTGAAAATAATCGTTAGCTGCAGCTCTAGTTTCCTAGTTTTGTTCTGTCAGGTTATTGCTGCTTGGCCTTGTTGGGGAGATTTCCCTTTACTTCTTGTCCTGGTGACAAGACTTTGTCCAACAAGTGCATAGAAAGCACCAAAGAGCTGAATGAGGGTATATCCTTCCCCTACACCTATCTCTGTTGGAATTCTTCTTACTTCCTGTCTCATTGGTGGTGTTGTCACTAGGACCAGTATTAGGGGAAATCACAAACAAAAATTAAAAATCAGATAAAGGTGCTACTGCTAACCCGTCCTCACTTTAAGAAAAACAAATGTTGGCTGGATTTTATTTTTGCATAGGGTAGATTAATCCCTCTATCCCAGGCTGTCCTTGTACTTTACTGGGTGTTAGGACTAAGGCCCAGTTTGGGGGATGAAACATGTAAGCATTTTTTTGTTTGCTTCTTTTCTGCCTTTTTGCAAATAAAGTATTGAATGGACGGATCCCCTTACGAATGCTGCTTTTTTTACCTTTTGCCCTTACACTTTATTGTAAGGAATGTATGCCCCTTTTAGGCTCAATAGAGGTCTATCTTACTGGTGTGCTTATTGAGTAGCAAATTCAGGGCAGATTAAAATATTTGACTACAGTTACCCTTAGAAGGTTAAATTAGAAAAAAATCTAGTCCCTCTGGCCCCCAACCTGCAGCCCTTTGGCTCATATTCTGTGGCCATTGAGGCCCCATGCAAACCGTAGCCTGTGTTCTCATCACCTAGATGTTTATTACAAAGTAAAATATCATTTATACTGCCTTTTAGTAGTTGAATGGTTTGGTTTATTTAATTTAGACTATCTTACTTTTTCTGTGCTGTCCATCTTTCTTCTCTTTGTAAGCACAAATGTGGAACCATTGATTTGTAAAGGGGCTTTAATAGCCGTGATCTCTACCCATCTCATCTAACATGTCTCCAGTCTACGATAGTCTCCTATAGCAAGTCTGCAGTCTCTGACTAGCTTAAACCACATGTCTGCAGACTGTAAAGTGGGGTATACACGGTTCTATAGAGCAGATTCTGCTATCAACGCTTATGAGCATTGACGGACGATCCACTGCTGTTTGCAGTGTATTCTGAGAGCGGCTGGTGGCTGAGAATTTTCCATTTCTCAGAAATATAATTTGTAAATGGTAGTGAATTATATATCAGATGTAGATTTTATATTTTATTCTAAAAGGCAGTCTGTGTCTATTGTAATACCTCCACTTTCTGTGTAGAGCAGGCACCACATGTCTAGACCGACATTCTGCACCCTGGCAATCCTTAAAGCTGGAGCATGCTTTTCAAAGGGGATGGGAGGGGCAAGTCTTCATACTTTGGACTCTGTTGTTTATATTGACACAGTTGACTAAAGATATGGTGATTGCTTGGCGAAGAAAGAATCCTGTAGCATACCAGCAGGTGGTGGTACAGGTGAACATTGGAGCTGTTGCTCTTGGCATTGTGATTATTATTATACAGAATTTATATATGCTCCAACAGTTTGTACAGCCCTTGGAACAGGGGATTCCTACCTGTATACGATGGAGGTATCTTAAGCTGGAATGGGAAAGAAACCCAGTATGCACACCACTTTAAGACTGGATGATGTGTATACAAATTTGAAATGTGTAATATCTGACATGGGAAACATAAAGTGTATCAAAATGCAAAACCTTTCTTGTTTTGGACTTAAAGCAGACTTTACCCTGGGAAACCAGGGGTGGGGAACCTCTGGCCCTCCAGCTGTGATGAAACTACAAATCCCATGATGCATCTGTCTTTAGGAGTCATGACTGTGGCTGTGAGAATCTTGCAATGCCTCATGGGATTTGTAGTTTCACCACAGCTGGAGGGCCAGAGGCTCCTCACCCCTGCCCTAAACCCTCTGCAACATGAGAATCCCCTTTTCTTTGGTTTGGTTTTATTTTCACTATTCACGTTCTGCCCTGTCTGATGGCCTCCATTCTTGCCTGGGTTGGAATGACTGCTGTGCTACAGGTTGTTCCTATGATATGTATGTTAGATCTACTAGGAGGCATCGGGCTTCAAACAGCAGACAGAGTAGGAGGGCGGGCCTGGACTCAGAAGAGACAGCTGACTCCTGATGACATCAGGGAAGAACATGACGGCGCGGGAAATAGCTTGTTGCAGCAGATCACAGCGGATTCACTTGAGCGGGTAAGTAAGTGAATTGGGGACAACAAAGCATTGGGTGGGAAGGGGTTAATATAATATGTGAGGTGAGTTCTGGGGGAGGGGGGGGGGGGGGGGGGTTTTTAAAGTGATGGAAAATGCAAAAAAATCAGTTGCCACCAGAACTAGTTGATTCTGGTGTCAACAGGCTAAGGGAATTTCCCTCACTTTCCTTTCCCTTCCTCTCGTATTTACAGCACAGGAAGTGAAGTAAAATCTCTTAAACTGGACACCAATAACAAAAGAAAAGTGAAAAGGGGTTTAACCATTCCTTACTCTATCCAAAATAAAATTTACAAAATGGTTTTAGATGTACTTGTAGGGCAAAACAGGTGGATCAGACACTTTGTAGGTAGATCAAGAATATTCATGTGCCAATCTACTGATCTCTAGAAGATTTGGTGAATGAGAACATGCATAATTCATGCATGTTAATGATTGCCTGCAAAATGTATTATGTTCTCAATTTGCTTTCATTCACTCAGCCTGTGCTGAATCATAGATTGGTTTGCTCAATTCTGTATCTAAGCTTGATAAAAGTAATCTCTTTAGGAAAAGTGACAGAGAATAAAAAACATTCTATGGCTATATATTGTTTTCTCTTTTAAACTACAATATTTCATGTTTTAGATAATACTTTTAAGTTGTCTTTTTTTCCTCTGCTATAGGTAATGTGTTGCCGGCATGTGCCAGCTGCGGACAGAGTATATATGAGGGACGATATCTGCGGGCCTTGGAGTCAGACTGGCATACTGACTGCTTCAGGTATTTGCAATTCTCTCCATATAGTACAGGATTCAGGTGCAAAATAAAAAGCAAACACCACCACCACAAAAATGTTTGTGTTTTATAAATGTATTATTTACTTTTGCTTTAATTTTTGGGCTGAGCGGCTCCAGGAAAGTACTGTTACCAGGAAAGAGCTGGTTTTACAACTCATTCCGGGTTTTCTGGATTATAGTTGGGATCCTGGAGGCGGGAGATTTCTAAGAGAACTGGGAGGGAAGAAATCTCTGTTCCTAGGTCTGGGCTTTAGTAGTGACCAGCACCAAATGATGGTACACCTGTGCACAGCCCTTATGAGGAGGATGCTGGGTCAGGTTCAAGGTTCCAACCTTGAGAGGTGTCTGTCCAGGAAGACTCCAGCCTGGAACCAGCCTGTGCGGCAAGTCTGTGCGATGCAGCCTGTTTGGGCAATGTTTGTTTGTGATAACCTGAAGTCAGTGAGACTGTGAAAAACCATTATTTTGCTGAAATTGTATTATGTTGGAGAAGCCCTGTGAGGGAGAACTTGTGTGTAAAATAAAAGTGGGCAGGAAGCCCTGAAAAGAACGTTTGCGAGTGACTACGTCCTTGAAGTGCTACCAAGGTGGATGTAAGAGACCTTGCGCTCCTCCACCTTCCATTTGAGGATGCTCAATAGGCTTTAGGTCTGGAGACATGCTTGGCCAGTCCATCACCTTTACCCTCAGCTTCTTTAGCAAGGCAGCGGTCGTCTTGGAGGTGTGTTTGGGGTTGTTATTCACCTCTAGCTCCAAACAACTGTTTCCTATAGGTCGGCACCTGCCAGAGTCTTCTACCAGGTTCCCGGGCAATAAATAACAACTGGGCGGAGCCGGCCGTGATGTCACTGCCGGCTGCACCCAGTTGTTATTGTTTAATGACAGATCAGCGCCCCAAGGTCATTTGGGGGCGCTGATTTGTCATTACACAATAACAACTGGGCGGAGCCAGCCGTGAGATCACGGCTAGCTCTGCCCGGCTGTTATTTGCATGGAGATCGGTCAGCTTCGGCCGACCTTTCTCCAAGCTTCACCTTTCACTACGGCTCAGCCGAGCCGAAGCATATGGGTTTGGATTGGCTGCTGTACGGGCTATAGTGAATGGCACATACCGGAGGCTCAGCCGAAGCTATGGCTGGATCCTTCGGCTCATTAGTGAATAACCCTCTAAATTTTAGATTTTCTCCCCAGTGAAAGTGCCCCACCCCAGGACAAATAGAAAGTGAATCTCTCTAGCAGGGTAAGATTCACACAGGCAGCAATAAATACCTAACAGGGGTTCTTACCCTCTTGCCAAAAAAAAAAAAAAGTTTTGCCTTTTGTTATAGTTTAACAAAATATATATTTTTTTAAAAATAATAATAACAATAGGCAGCACACATAATAACAGAGTGTAAAAAATAAAATGTGTAAACCAACAAAATAAAACCTGAAACAATAGTCTGAATCTCTATGTGCAATCTTGAATTATAAATAAATCCACCCTTGTGTATCACTCAGTACCCCAGGTGTGATCCCATCATCTACTGGATTTGAAGTGACCATGTCAAAATGTTCACCTATTTAACACCTTTGCTGCCTCTACAGCGTCTCTTAATTCATGCTGACACTGTCCTTCCTTCTGGACGGTGGCTACTTTTGTTCCCCATAGTCCCTTTTGTTAATAGTTAAGGTAGTTGAATGCTTTTTTAAGATTTAACTCCTGAGTTTAATGTCACTTTAAGGAAATACAGTATATCATTTGGGATTGGGGGTGATGGGGGAGTTAAGTAATCTTCAGGCCTAAAATATGCATTTTAACATGGTGTGCAAAAAAACACAAAAACTGCTCTGCCAGCGGCAAAGTAAAGAAATACTTCCTAATCTTCTCTCAATGGAATCAAGCTTACTTCATATGGTCTAGAACTATGTATAGGTCGATATTTTGCAGATGAATCCGCACATTCACGTACCGTCATATAGGTGTACAATGCATAGGACAGAGAAAAGTGGCTTAAATAGATTATATAGATTATATAATAAATACATTTATTATAAAAGAAACAAAAGCTAAAACCCCAGAGAACGCTCACATGACATACTGTACCTGCATCCGGCACGTTTGAATAATCGCATGTGTTTATAGAGTTTCGGTAAGCTAGTACCAGATCACAGCCACAGTCCTGATCTCCATTGTCTCACTCAGTATAAGGGAAACCCCTCCTAATGCATTTCATCAGAGGCACATAGAGATTCAGACTATTGTTTTATGTGTTATTTTGTTTGATTTATATATTTTATTTTGTTACACATTTGTTATGTGCACTGCCTAATATTTGTTGTGCTATGAAAAATCATTTGCGTTTCATCTAATCTTTCATCAAACATCTAATCTAGTGCAATCTTTTGAAGGAATGATCATGTCATGATCTAAAACCTGTCTTATCTGATTTAATAAACAATACATTTTAGGTTGTCAAGAACGCTACAGCACCAGAAGGAATGGTTGCTTGCTAAAACAAGAAATTTCAACATCATGGTTAATAACTTTAATAGGCACCGTGTTATAAGCTAAGTCTACTGTTGGAGAGTTTCCAATAAAGCAGCAATTTATATAACTATTGGATTCAGCAGAAAAAAATCTGTTAGCTCTTATACAGAGACTTCCGCCTATTTTTGCTGTCACTGTAGTAAAAAAAAAAGGCAAGCTCCTCCCACTGCAATTTTTATTTCTGGGCTATTAACTGCTTAGTAGTGTATTAAGTGTAATCAGACACCAATAGCTATGGCTGGCTTGCTCCAGATGATGGATCATGATACCACAGCCCCAGGAACCTGTAGGGCCTCCTTCAGACGGGCAGCAGGGTCCCCTGCCTCTCGGAAAAGTGATCAGCAGTGGGTTGCTTTTCAGAGGACGGTAGAATGTTAGTGCTGCCTCCTGAATACTGTTTTTTTCTCATTTTTTGTTTTTTTATATATCCCAATGGGGATGTTCAGTTGCAATAGCATGCCACAATCGCGTACCCACTTGGTTGCAGCATGGTCCCATTGATCGCAATAATCACATATGGCAAGCTGTGTAAAGTTTACCGCGGCATTTATACCAGCCTGGGAGGCTGCTATTTTAGCTTTTAGGTGGGTGGTTAGGGAAGAGGGGGTGTAAAAACACAGATCAAGCACCTCTTTTTTTCCGCTCCCTTGCCACCCATCTGAACAAGGTCTAAGGCTATGCTTTCAATTACTCATTAGTCATACAAGGAATGATAGGTGGTCTGTCATGGGTCTCCAGGGGTTAAACCTCTCAGGACTGTGCTTTAAGAAAAAAAAAATGCTTTTGTTCAGTATGGCAAAGGAGAAGGGAGTCCATGGGATCCATGGGATCTCTCTGCTGATTTTATGAAGGAAACAATATTATTGTTTTATAAAACATAGTAAATCTACTATACAAGTTTACAAATCGCAGAGTGACTGCCCACTGGTTAGAATGATGGCATATAGCTAATAAATGGGCTGATGTTCCACTGATAGATGTACAAAGCACCTGTTTACCAGGTCAGTTTGGTAAAAAAAAACAATTACATAGTTGATAATCGGGTCACACTGTATTTTTATGAATCCAGTGTTGTTTAAAACACCCTTTAGTTAAAGAAGAACTCCGGGCAGAGAAAAAAACCTCACCCTTGCAGCGGGGCTACCCCTGCGCTGCAAGAGTTAAGTGCTTGTTTTCATCTAGTGTGTAAAATAAAGATATGCATACCTTGCTCCTGCCTGGCTGCTAGACTTGTCCTTCTCTGCAGCTGGTGATGGATTGTTGTTTACTGGTTCTTAGATTGCTGAAGTGAAGGGGGAGAGAGGCTTCAGGGACCGGTCTAGCAGCCAGGCTGGACCGAGGTTTGGGTGAGTATATCTTTGTTATTTTACACCCTAGACGAAAACCAGCACTTAACCCTTCCAGTGCAGGGGTAGCGTCACTGCAAGGGTTAATAATATTTATGCCCAGAGTTCTTTAACTTACAGGTCGACGAATGGTCATTTCAGCATCTCATCCATAGTCATTTTCTTATCTTTGCCGCAATCTGCTGAAAGATGACTTAAATAGCTTGAACTTTGCTATTTGATTAATAACCTCAACCACGATCGAAATGAAGCAAGACTTCAGTCCTGCCAAACAAAATTGTTATTTTACCTTTATACTTTATACATTTATTTTCCTCTTCATAGGCATGAACAATAAACTGCTGCTAGGTTAGGCTCAGGGAGCTTGATAGGTTTCTGGCCATTAGGGGAATTATGGCTGTTTCATATTACACTACAGTGTGCTGTTATTTTAAACCAGACAGACTTTGTCTGGTATACTTCGAGAACCATCCTGAATATGTGACGAATAAACATGTCTGCCCCCATTTACCGATAATTATAACCTATAAATAGAGAAAATGTTCTAAAACATAAATTCACTTCAGTAGTCATATTCATGGTATCTCTTTCACATGTGTATTTGAAAAACAATACAAAGACAAAAGTTCCTGATTATTATGTTAATTTCATACAGGATTTATATAGCGCCAACAGTTTGCGCAGAGCTGTACAATACAGGGAAGACATTACAATCACAAGACAAGATGAAATGGTTGTAAATTCCCTAAACAGGAAGAGAAAAGTTACAGATAACACAAACCGGCAAAACGCATACAGTAGATGTGTCATGTGCGTGTGTTATTTGTAACCATCTGCTGACCTGCAGAGAGCTGCTCATTCATATGGAGCCAGTGAAACGTTACAGATGTCCTCTGCCAATGTTATTATTGCACTAGACTGTAACGCAGCACTTAGTCTAATGAATGACGTTGTAACGTCTGTATCTGCAAACACAGTTCACGTAACAGTACATTTTCACATGGTCAGCCTTGGAAATGAAGCTGAAGGGCATGTTTGTTATTCTTCGTGTGTCACAACATATGAACGAAAACTCTCCACATGGAGAAGATCTTCAACCTTGAATGA